AATAATAATAAGGTTGTGAGTGAACAAAGTATAAAAAGTGATTTTCACAGTGAGAAGCGTGGAAGCGCCTCTAGCGGCAGTCAATGAGACAGCCACTAGAGACTAGTTTAACCCATAGGTAAACATAGCAGTTTCTCTGAAACTGCTATGTTTACAACAGAAAGGGTTAATCCTAGATGGACCAGGCACCCAGACCACTCCATTAAGCTGAAGAGGTCTGGGTGCCTATAGTGGTCCTTTAAGCATTATTCTTTTAGTAAAATCATATAACTCCACACTTGAAGATACAAGCAATTGAAATCGTGGTCTTGGAGATAGACTTATTGATTTACACAATCATATTTTTACTTATACGGAGAGTTTCCTTTTATTGACATTAAAAGGCATTTAGCCAGATAAAAATACACTTTCCTTCAAGCCTAACACTAACTAACACTAGCAAACCCTAGTTAACCTTAACTAACCCTAACCCTATATATCTAAGTCTAGCTAACCATAACTGACCTTAACTACCATTAAACCTACCTCCTACAATTTAAACCTACAAGTACTAGCTGTGACAGCGAATCACAGTGATCCTATTATCTTAGACAATCTACCTCTATTGCTAGATTGCACAATTAATGATGTAAGCTAATATACTACTTAACTGGTCTAAAAAGGCAAACCTTTAACCCATTGGTTCCAAACCCAGTCCTCAAGGCCCACCAACAGTCCAGGAATTATGCATTTCTCTGTTTTATTCCAAAGGAGATACGGACAAAACCTTGACTGTTGGTGGGTCTTAAGGACTAGTTTAGGAAACACTGCTCTAATCTATTCACAGAAGCCTTAAACAATGACCAGATCAACACTTTAGGCAGAATCTATGCATTTTGTCTAGTGAAAACATTATCAAGCATTTTTATGCAGTATGCACAAAAAATGCAGAATGCTTGGTTGTATAGGAAAAGGTATTAATAGTAGAAAGAGGGAAGTGCTCATGCCATTGTACAGAACACTTGTGAGACCTCACTTGGATTATTGTATGCACTACTGGAGACCGTATCTTAAGAAGGATATTGATACTTTGGAGAAGTTCTGAGAAGGGCTACAAAACTGGTTCATGGATTGCAGGACAAAACTTACCAGGAAAGGTTAAAGGATCTTAACATGTATAGCTTGGAGGAAAGATGAGACAGGGGGATATGATAGAAACATTTAAATACCTAAAGGGAATCAACACAGTAAAGGAGGCAATGATATTTAAAAGAAGAAAAACTACCACAACAAGAGGACCTAATCTTCATTAGAGGGGCAAAGCTTTAAAAATAATTTCAGAAAGTATAACTTTACTGATAGCATAGTGGTTCAGCTGTAGTGGTAAAGGTTAACACAGTGAAGGAGTTTATGCATGCACGGGATAGGCATAATGCTATCCTAGCTATAAGATAAGGCCAGAGACTAATAAAAGTATTTAGAAAATTGGGCATACTAGATGGTCCAAATGGTTTTGTCTGCCGTCACATTCTATGTTTCTAAAAAATGAGATATGAAGAATGTCCATTCTTGGACCTTAATTCCTTTCAATCCAGTAAACACTGAGTTTGTGCTTAAACACCATTTTTTCCACATCTCACATTGGATGACTTAACTTAAGAAGATTCATGCTATGCATTAGAGTCTGCATGTGGTGTGCATTTCACTATTAGTGCAAAACAATGTCATTTATTCTTAAAAGAGCTTTCAATTCAAAACTTAGCGAAGGACCAAAGGATATTCATTTAGATCATAAGAGAGGTATTTTTATCTTATTTTTTATTTTAGTGATGAAGTCTTTGAAATAAAGGCTACCAACATAATATGAAGGGGATACCCTTACTATGCAATAGTTTAACCAATTAGTAAACAGATAATTAAGTTACCATTCCATAATGATGATGATCAATCTCTTTATTATAGGTAACATAGCATGTAATCTACTAAGGGGACTCTCTCAAAATCTCGTAGAAAGCCTTTGATGGCCTTTTTCATTTTTGGTTATCTCTAGAATAACAAGACTACAATTAAAAATGTTCATTTCCTATTTTAAAGTATGTCATGGAAATGATTTAGTAAAAATATATGTTAGACAATCTGAAGTAGAAATACAAAATCCCAAAAAGGTAACAATCTATTTAAAAAAATAATAAATTATACAAAATGGTAGTGTTAGTTTAGCTAACAAAGTACTTTAACATTTATTTATATTGATTTTCATAATATCAATTATTGGTTAAAGTATAGTTTAAATAATACATGAAGTAAATTACTATTTTAAATCCAGAATAGAAACAAGGATTCCCAGGGTATTATTTATCTAGGAACATTCTGATATTTTTCACATATTCATTTTAGTACAACTCTCTGCAAAAGCTTCTGGTTATATATAGATTTGTGGTTGTTTTCCACATGCAAGCACACATTATTGCATTTTTTGCATTGAATATAATGATTCCTATAAGAGCTTACCCTCCATTAATATTTGGGGGGAAATGTTATAGGGTTACATTGGTTACCAGCCTATTCATACTTGCAATTTTGTCAGATTAATTTACTAGGCCTAAATCACCTTTGTATAATGTATGAATACAATTACGAAATATCCCACATTTTTCAAGGGTCAGAATACAGACTTGCCCTTATTTTGATCGACTAATTTACTGGACCCATTCCTTATTTTAAACAGCATATCAGCCAATGAGTTTAAAGGACCACTCTAGGCACCTAGACCACTTCAGCTTAATGAAGTGGTCTGGGTGCCAGGTCCAGCTAGGCTTAACCCATTCTTTTATAAACATAGCAGTTTCAGAGAAACTGCTATGTTTATGAATGGGTTAAGCCTTCCCCCAAATCCTCTAGTGTCTGTCTCATTGACAGCCGCTAGAGGCGCTTGCGTGATTCTCACTGTGATTTTCACAGTGAGAGCACGCAAGCGTCCATAGGAAATTTTTTCCTGTCCATAGGAAAGCATTGTAAATGCGACCGGCTGAATGAGCGCGCAGCTCTTGCCGCGCATGCACATTCAGCCGACGGGGAGGAACGGAGGAGGATCGGAGGAGGAGAGCTCCCCGCCCAGCGCTGGAAAAAGGTAAGTTTTAACCCCTTTCCCCCTTCCAGAGCCGGACGGGAGGGGGACCCTGAGGGTGGGGGCACCCTCAGGGCACTATAGTGCCATAAAAACGAGTATGTTTTCCTGGCACTATAGTGGTCCTTTAAATGACCTTAATCATTACATACCATCTGCTAATAGTTATTTCACGTGAGGTATTTTAGCCACCAATTTCTTCCAAAACTTGCTATATTTATTATGCAATTTACACACACACGCACACACACATACACAGACACACACTGTATTTTTTGCTTGCATTTCATTAACTCCAAAATTCTTATTTAGCTATATCCTCTCAGTACACCAACATCCCCCATATATATTGTACAATATAAGACATTGCACAATAATTAAATTAGCATAACTTACGTATCCATAATAATACCTGATTAGGGGAAACTATCTATGTCACTTCAATGACCTAGAACAAAGTCTGACATAGTGTAACTAACATCATGAGAACCAAAAAAAAAGTAAAATTCTGCATAATAAAACAAAAAAAAAAAAATTTCCTAAATCAACTTACTAAATAACTTACATTTTTATATTATCCATAATATTATTACTAAATTTCCCTAAATAACACCCAAAGAGGGTAAATACATTTTACAAAAAATCGGATTTCAAACGCAACCCTAAAATCTAGCATTAATTCTAAATCTAACCTATATTAATTCTAACTTTATACTGAATTATATGTAATATAAATGTATGTGTTCAGTTGACCCTTTGGTATAGTAGCTTGCTATTTAATACCTGTCTGCAAACCTTCAAGATAAAGCTAATTATTGGACTGTGTTGCATTTCTTTGTATAATCTCTGTCTATTCATGAATTATTATTTAACAAAATTGCTCACAGAGAATCATTTTGTTAAATTTCATAATACTAATTGCACAATGTTGTTGTTTGTTGGCTTGTGGGCCACTGTCCAACAAACAAATCATTGCTTTTTTTTATCCAAGTCTAATGTGATGAGGCAATTAGTATGAATTATGCAATCCAACAAAATAATTTATCTCTATACAAAAGACAGTGGATACAATACGGGTTTTGAGGCTAGAGCATTTTCGCTTTTAAAATATTTATATGTAAAACACTAGCCATCATAAGTGCATTATAAAAGTAATCATTTTCTTAATAAGGTGTGTCATTTTGTTCTTTAAGATTTATGACCAGATGTCAAAAGAGAAAAGAAATTTGTTTATGTGTATAAATAAATATATTATTGATAACTCTTTATATATTTCAATGTAATGCTGGAAATGTGTCCAAGTTTGTGAATATACATCAAGCGATTTTAAAACATATTATTATATACATATCTTGCTCGTTTTTACAATTTGTTTATCTTAAATCGAATACTAGTTTTCCATTTCAGATAACCTCATCGGTAGTAGAATGGAAATATATTCTATATATATATTCATTACTGTAAACATGTACATTAAAGACAGCTAAATCGGGGGAGCGGGGCCTGACCGCTGAGAGGAGAAGAAGCTAAACTGTGCAGTTCCTGCTCTGTGGCACGGAATAAGTGAATTCCTACCGTCCAAACGGGACCAAAACGGCTCAAAGAGGCCACCAGGCAGAAGGTGACAAAGAGGGGCACAAAATGATGCCACACAAGCGACCCTTTCAGCAAAACTCGCCTGCTCTGCCTGCGGGGCCTACACGCGTGGTCGGTGTGAGGGAGACGGCCGCTCCCCCGCTGACATCCATGGCTGCAAAGCGGAGACCTGACCCCCGTCCCCCCCTCTGGACCGGTGGGGGATATCCCGGTCCGTCCTATGGAGACCCTGGTACAACCCTGAAAACACGCTGAGGTGACACAGGGGCTTGAAACAAGCGGTGAAACTGCACCCAAAATGGCGGAGGCAAGGTGCTCCTCCAGCAGCGAGCATTCGGAGGTGGAGCTCCGGATGGACAAAGCCTTTCAAATCTTCTGGGAGAAGCTCGAGGCTCTTATGTTCCCAACAACCCCAGAGAAAGCACCTGGAACTCGACCGCGCACTCGCCCAAGCGTATCCCAACGAAAGCCCGCACAGACAGCTCAGGCACCGAGCCGTCAGGAAAAAAGAAACCAGTGGGACACTATTAAAAAACGGGCGACCAGAGACCCGTCAGGTGGCAACAGGAGGAAGGCGACAGCCACATCAAACCGGCAAGTAACCATGCGGACACATATCAGCCCACCCGGCCACCAACCTGATACTGAGGGTCAGCACCAAGTGGCCTGAACTACCCGACCCACCACTTGCCGGCGCAAGTCTGTACCCTGCCCACACAAGGCATAGGACGATCGGAAACATGGGAGAGCGACTTATCCTAGTATGACAGCGCTGCCTACTACCCGCAAAGGATCGGACACTCACTTTATCAAGCGGCTCACTCATAAGAAACTTATTCTCGACGGCAGGACTGTCATACCCCACTGAATACCAAAACCCCCCAGAAAGCCCAGTTCTCCCCCTCATCACACAACCATCAGGGGCCCCCTGGGGCATACCACACCACTTGCCCTAGCTTAACGATTAAACCAGCCCACATACGATAAAAGGTGAACCTAACGATTTTGCCTAACATATAACTATAATATTGTGCATGTACTATAGATAACCCAACTGTTATATATATATGTATCAAATACGCTGGAGGATTGCCCGTTGGGGTACCTCATGCACGGATGTTAAACTGATATGCACTGCAAAAAAAAAAAAGACAGCTAAATCAATCACTGGGATTTATTAACAAAGCACCAAACAGTGCCAAAAACAGCTCAACAGTGAAACATTTAGTAAAAAGTGTCTAATTGGAAACTTTTCCCCACTTAGCTATAGTTACAACTTGACTACCCAAATGTAACATTTTTTAAAAGTAATATTCATTATACTTGTAGATTCATTTTGCTCTAAAGAGTAATCTGTCTGAATTTGGTCTGATCGGATGATATTATGAATTCCTAAACTCAGAGCCAAAATGTAGCTGGATAACGAACCAAAAAAATCATGCCGTAGATGACCATGTTAGTTTTTAGGGTATTTATACTTACCTTTCCTGTCCCTCAGTGCCCTGTTGTGGTCTTGTGATACCTGTAGTGCTGTTCTCTCGTGTTTCTCTCTGGTTACCGATTATTTGGCTCGTTATTCCGATTATCCTGTCTTCTCCTCTCCTTTGACCTCGGCTTGTTTCTCGTTCTCCCGTTTTCTGGCTCCCTTTACTTGGCTTGTCTCCTGACTATTCTTAGCGTGCTTAGCCCGGCCACTCTAAGGACCGGTATAGCACCCTTCCTCTCTATGACCTGTTGGCGTGTTAGGTTCCGGAATCGTGACAATTATAGGGTCAGATGACAGCTGGAGACACTTCAATGGTAGCGAGCACATACAGTGCTGTACCCTTAACATGGTAAACCTTTGGCTCAAGTGTCGACAGAGGAATCTCTGCATACCCATCGTGGCAAATATGCCGTAGGCTAGACATTGTTACATTAGAGTCTACCCACATTTATTCATAGATTTTTACAAGAGCTACTTGCTAAGGGCAAATAAGTTGATAATGTTTTGATATTTATTTTGGTGAGTTTAATTTAGAGAATTTTATTTGTTTAACTATTTGTTGAAAGTTTGTTCTAAGCACTATAGAGACAGATATGTCAGGATTCATAGCTTGCTTTTAGAGAGCCACCTCTCAACCTCAGATAAATCCTGCTATAAACCAGTCTTGAGCTTTGATATGTTTGTTTTCTTGTAATTATATGTAATCATGGTGTCATCATCCTGTATGTGCCCATCAGATGTATTGCAAGCCATGGGAAAGAATTTATGAATAAAAAAAAAAAAGAAATAAATCACAGAATGCTTGTGTAACTTTGAGTGGACTGAAAATATTGGGGGAATAGACACATATTGGATTCTGTCTGATAATGAACAGAAACTTTTATTGGTTGAAATAATTTAAAGAACAACTACCTCAAATGTGCATGATTTAATAAAGTAGGTTAGACAGAATAGACAGAAATGATGTGTACATTAGTGTAGACATATTATTTACCACTTTCCAAATAAAAACAACTTAATTGTATTCATGTCTCAGAAATACAAACGTTCATATGTATTCATACATCTAATGTTACAAATAGGAGTATAGCAAACCACGATTCTGCTTGGGAAAGTTCATCAAAGAGAATGTAACCTGCTGCTAGCAAGTTGCAACAGGCAAGTTGAACAACATATGATTAAAGTAAGGAGATGCCCAACTGACCAGTCAGATCCAGAGTACTGATGACCAGAGTATGGTGAAAAGTCAAAAGGTCCCGCCAACTAAATAGAAAAAGCCAGGCAGTCAATATATTTTTAATTTAGTGAAAACCAGCCACAGATTTGATAAAGAATGGAGAAGTAGAATATCATTCCATTTACCTTTTCCTGCAATCATGAGAACGGGAGTAGCCCAGTCATGGAAACCTTGGTTGTATGGTTTGGGATGGGAATATCTGAGGGTCATGTATGTTTCATATCCTTGAAGATAATAGAGCAACCTATTAAGAAGGGTGGGTGATAGGGACATACTTTGCCAAGTTCTCAATTTATCACTTTCTTCTCTTTTCATTCTCATCTTTGTTTTTAATTCATATGGAAACAAATTTTAATAAGTTTTGTTTTCATCATAGCCCTTGATAACCAGAATAATTTTTATTGCCAGTTCTCACAAAAATAAACTGCTATCTATATTTGTAGTGTTTTGGATCTAGAGTGATTTTAAGATTTAGACCTTGAGGACAGGACAGACACCTTAGAAGGTTTGAGGAGTATCTATGTCTATGGGACATTTTTGTAATGTACCCCTCTGTAAAAGCTGATTCATTTATTTATTTAAAACACAGCTTTAAATATGGGTATGCATACAAAATGGCAGGAATAAATTCTTGCTGTGAGGTAATATCGCTTTGATTTTTATGCTGAAGGAATAATGAACAAGGTGACAATAAAACCAAGGTGCAAGAGAGTACTGAGAATGGACAACAGCTCAAATAGCTTGCACATCAGTGGGTCCCCACTCAGATCTCAAGCTCGTTTTAGCTCATCTTCTACCATTACAAAAAGAACCAGGGCCATTTTCACATCAAAAGGGTGGTAACTAACCAAAATTCAGCTCTGGTTTCACCGAGCATGTGATGCTCGTAAAAGTGTGAGTAGATTTCATTCCAATATCATTTAAGTATCACTATTTAAAGCAGAGAACACTATATTTTATTTCATTTATTTCATATGCCGATTGTATTGTTAATATTCAAAAGGGATGTCTCCAGTTTTATCTGTGAGTGGGGATCATAGTGCTCAAAGCCCTATCTAAGAGCCAATTGGAGGCTCTCTCCTTCTGAGTGTATCTTTACCATTATATTATCTAGGACACTGTATATACTGGGTTACACTATTCGTGTTTTTTTTTGTGTTTCTATTTTATATGGGACAACTTTAAGAAAATGCCTCATCTCTACTTAAAGGCCTAATTACTTAACCAGTAAGGAGTACAACAGATTGACCTCCAAGAATACTATTTCCAGCAGGTTTTATATTAGCAGTGTATGGACTTTCTCTTTGGGACTTTCAACCATATTTATATTCTAGCTATCTTATATTGATAATATTGTGTTCATACATTGTTTAGTTAATATCCACATTTGTCGCAGCCTGTTCTCTTTTCTTTTTTCATTTCCTTTTATTTTGGATTATTAGGGTATCCAAATTACAGACTTTATCTTGCTGCCTTTAGAGTTAGCGCTGTATCCCCCTTTTGAGTATATCCATGTTTGAATTATCCTTTAAACTTGGGGAGAGCAAAAAAGAAAAATTTTCTCAGTTACTTTATTTCCTTAAAGTGAATTATTGTAAGTACATGTAAGTCTGAAACTGTGTTACTTTCATAAAAGAAACTAACTGGAAACTAAAACACGTACAAAATCATTACCATCATTATTCTTTCAGGGATTGTGTCTTTTTGGCTTAATAAAGTTAAATAAAATCTTGAAATACATATATTTTCATTTAGTAAACTCATAAATTCAAACAAACAAACTATTTTGTGAGAAACTATTATCTCCCATTCATTATAAAACTGTTACAAATTGTTAAAGTAAAACCTGAGTGTAACTTGAGATAAAGAGTATAAGAATAAAACAAATTGCAGAATCATTTCTATTAATCTAATATTTTTCCTGTATTTGTACATTCACAAGATTTGAAATGTGCTTTTTTAAGAAAGCTGGACCAGAATTGCAATCTAATTTTTTTTAATACATTAAAACACGTGCATATTCAAATATGGAGTCATATTGTAATTATCCTGTAATTACTGCACATTTATAGGTTCTATACTATAATAATCAAATTGTTTGCTCCTCATTGTCTTTATAACAAATATCCAACAAGAAATACAATAAATCAAAAACACAATGAACTGGATATTTTTCATAAACTCATTTTCAGAAATTTATAGAATATATTTGTTTTCCAGGTATAGTAGTAACTCAAATAGATGCTGAACTAGTCCTCCAGCTTGTTCAGACCTACTGATGTTGAATATTTTTTTTTACCAGTTGTCATAGCAACTGATACCAGAAGAACACACTGAGTTTATCCCCTAGAAAGCTTCAACAGATGTCTTCAACAAATTGCCTTGAAAAGACTTCAGTCTTTATACCTTGGTGGAGATAAAAATCAAGCAACAAGATGCCCTTGTGTTCGCTGCTGATAGCCATCCCTTTAAATATGTAGAATCACACCTAGCAGTGAGTTAGTAAAATCTCTTTCATCCACCCCGATTCCTCTGATTTTATGCAGCACATCATTTTTTAAAATATTTATATATTTTATTTTTACATGTAGCACAAGGGATTATGCGTTGCAGATGACATTGTCTGGCATTGCCATGATAAAAACAGCTGGTCAGCTACAGAGAACGAAATCAATGATGAATTATTGATTTAGATGAATCAACACCCTTTAAAATATCAGTCTTTTAAAGAAAAGCTTCTGTGTTATTTGGGGTTTAAAAGTGTTAAAATAATAAATACATTACATTACATTTTAGTGTGATTCTTATTATTCATATAAGTGTCACTAAAAACAGTTGAAAAACTATTTATGGGTTTGACATACATTGTACAGTAAAATTAGGATTTAAAAAATAATTTTAAGGTAGAAAATATGTATAAGAATAAGCTGAAAGAAAATCTGAAATA